TTTTAACATTTTTTATGTGTATACTGTGTGTTGTCGCCAATAAAGTCTACTTGGCAAGATTTGCACCAGCAAAACGGAAAAGTACCAAAATATTTAATGCTGCATGATAAATTGCGTAAAGTTTATTTTATTCTCAAACTTATTAATAATTATGTTAATTAATTCATGTTTAGTAATAATGCTTACTACTTAGGGATCTATTTTATTTTTTAGGATGGTATAACAAAAGTGAAATTCAGGCATAGATAATATTTTTTATTGTATTTATTCAGTTCCCATTTGCTTATAGGTCCTTAACTTTTTTCATTAATGGTCCTTAAAAGTCTTTAAAAGTACTTAATTTCCATGTGCAGAAATGTGTACGAACCCTGTATGATTTGATTTAGATAATTGAATTTATTGACTGAGGAATTAGCTTTCATTAATCTGAATGCTTGATCATAACCATATGTAGAGAAATTAATTTTAAAAAGGCATTGCTTGATTTATTACACAGTTTCTCAGCTTTAACACTAGTTATACATCTATATAAGGTTATACACTAAATCATACTTGTACATATTGGTCCTAGATTCATTTATGTAAGGATAATTTTTATTCCCAAAAAGAAAAAGGTACAAAATGCAAGTTACAAACCAGCAATTTAAAATTGAAAAAATATCTGTATATGTAAATATCTGTATGACCTCAAATCTGTATTTACAGTGATATCCAGTGTGCATGAGTACAGTAGTCAAATTTATTATTATGAGTGCTTTAAGAAGTTTTTGAATTTTGTGATGTGTTCTAATTGATAATTTAATATGATGAAAATGCAACAAAGGTTTAAGAATTTTCACTCTATATTCAGTCAGTGACTGCAGATTGTATTTAAAGAATAGTTAAGATGTGATTTTTGCTAGGATATTGAAGAATCTCGAAAGGAGCTCTGTGCACATAAGGGGAAAAAAAAAATTATAAGAATGCAGTAATCCAAATAAAAGCTAAGAAATTATAATTAATAATATATATGATTGAGAATTTTATAAACATTAAACCAGTATTCTAATTAATGATACAATTCTAATAAAAATATTACATTCTTCAGAATAATTGTATAACTGTAAATTTTGTTAATTACTATAAGTCTGATTATTCAATAAGCTCAGGGGACTAACAGTTTTGTTAAACTAGGTCCATATTATGCAGTAAAAGCAAATAAGCAAATCTAATTTAAAATGTTTTAAGAATGAATTGAAAAAATATCTGTATATGTAAATATCTGTATGACCTCAAATCTTTTATGTAGTATGTAGTATGTAGTATGAAGTATATGTATAATTAAATAAGTATGCTGTATGTATTTTTAAGGTATGCATACAGTAATTCTTTAGAAGTGTTTTGTGATTGTCATCATTCTAGAAATTAAACTATAGAATATATATATTTAATATTCTTCATCAGTGTATGTGCTGAAATCTGTTGTACCACTATTGCATGAGGCCATTTTAAATGAGGTTTGAATGTCCTCCTGCTAAATAGACTTTAAAATAAATATCAAAATCCATTATATGTTCGGTACTGTAATGGTATTTATAAATTTCAGAAGCATATTTAATGCTTCAACAGCTGTACATCAAGTGATATTAGTTAAGCATTTTTCTTCAGCAGCAGACATTATTAGCTATGGGTGAATTTAGTGCACATACAATAACTCTTCCCTGTTTGTCTCTTCTCTGTCACCTTCAGATAATTTATTTCATCCTCTAAACCATGATTAGGGAATTATTCATGAGAATATTTTAAATTGTATTTAACAGCTATATATTGTTAACCATAGGAGCATTGATTAGTCTACCATCTTCTGATAAAATTATGCTTCATAAATTTTGACCATAATTTTTTATAGGTTCTCTCTTTATAAATTTCAATATGTTATTTACATCATTCCAAGCAGTGTACTGTGTTTAGCCTTATGATATTTCTGAATTACATGCTTTTAGCACCTTTGCATGAAGTTTGCCTTTTCCCCTTTTAGAAAAATTGCCTTGAGTATGTTGTGAATAAAACAAAATATACATTTTTAGACTAATTAATGCATTACCTTATGCTGTGCAATCATGCAAGGAAAAAAATCACTTATTTTTTATTGATTTTCTGTGCATACTATATGTAATTGCTTCTATAAGCTTAGTTATTTACAAGACTAGTAACCTTGCACATTTTATTATGTGATACATATGTCTGAAATTTCCTATTTATGCTTTAAAGGGACACTGGAAAGTAAAAAAGCTGCATTTTTTTTTTTTTTTTTTTTTTTTTTGTTGTTTGTTGTTGTTGTTGTTGTTGTTGTAATATAACAAATTAAACAAAACTGCATTTTGAATTTTCTGTGTTCTGTTAAATTTTACAATATACACTGGCTTCCAAAAGTTAAGCACATGGTACTTATCAGTTTTTGAAAGCAAGATTGAATTCAAATGACTAAAAATCATTACATGTGGCAGTATGCAAATATTATATATTACAGCCATTCGCAATTGACTGTCTAAACATATGCTAATTAAGCAATTGTTAAAGGCACCAACATTGTATGAAGAGGCTCATTTAAATTTGAAGTGCTTATAACTTTTGTGGCATAATTTTCATTGATTTTCATGTTTCTGTGGCTGAAAGAAGATGAACAGCAGATAATGAGTGTTGGCATGCTGTTGGATGCATTGAAACAGTGCAATGAATTGAAAATACTGCTGCTTTCTTTGGCATTGATCATTTGATAATTTCTCGAATGTGAAAACAAGTCAAACAAGTTTTCAGAGACCTGTGCCTGGTTGACCAAGGGTTGACACCCCTTCTGAAAATTAGTATATTGCTATAGTTGCCCAGTGGAATTGATAAGCGACATTTAATATCAGCCAGTACTGTCTGCCAGAGGCTTCATTTGAATGTGTTGTATGCTCAAGTATTAAGTACAGTCAAAAGTCGTTAATTCGGACACCCATAATCTGGAATGATCTATAATCCGGACCTCAAAGCTACAAACTTTCTGCGCATGCTTCGCGTTCACGCATGCGCACAGGCGTTTACGAGAGCACGTAAGACCCTTACGGCTGCGAATATGTTTGTGCGCATGCGCGTTTAATGTGTAACGGAGTTATACGCTAAGCTAAAGTTATCTAATTCAGTTCATGTTGCAGATTGCGTTGTTCCTTAATCTTCGAATTGGATCCGGCTTATTATTTTTTGCAGACTGTTTAGAGCAATTTTATAAAAGTAAGCTTGAAACTTTCGATTATGTCAAATAGAATTTCCGATATATATTTACTACAAAGCGAAAGTATGTTTTGAAATCCGAAATCTGTTTATCAATTAAACGTCATTATTAGATTATGATAGATTAGAAAGATTATGTCAAATAGAATTTCCAATATATATTTACTAATATGTTAATTTGTATCTACAAAGCGAAAGTATGTTTTGAAATCCGAAATCGTTTATGAATTTCACGCTGGGGATTGGAAGTTGATCTGTCAACACTATCCTTATCTTCAGAGCAGATGTTTTTATTTTATTTTGGATTATAATTCCTTACCAAGTGTTAGTATTTCATCTCGATGTACTCCGTCTTTGATATGATTTAAATCAAGTTCCTCGTCATTATAATTCGCTTCCGATAGTGAAGAAAGTGACCCAGAGGTTATTGAAAACGAAAACATTTCGATTGACAAATTAGTCGGTATTCTCAACACAGCAATTATAGGACTTGAACAGCGGAACTTTGTAACTAAACAAGAATTATGTCTGTTTAATAGAATTAAAGAGAAAGTATTATCACATGAAACGAAGCAACTTACATTGAAGGAAATGTTTAATAAAGTAAACAAATAAATATTAAGCTTTTTTTTTCTTTTTGTAAATTTTTTGATACCCTTTAGATCATAATTGTTCTTTATTTCATAAATTACGGTTTCATATTTTTTAATTTTGTAATTTTTGCATGCCATCTTACCAGATTTAAACTGATGATCTATAATCCGGAAAAATCGATAATCCGGAATCGCCGAAGTCCCGACGAGTCCGGATTAACGACTTTTGACTGTATATGATTTCTACTAACTGTCTAGTCCAGTGAGATAAGATTAAAATGGTACTGTCAGCATCTCAATTAAACTGTCTCAGATTTGTGCAATATCCTGTTCACAGATGAGTCCATATTTGCTCTGGAAGCAGCAAGGAAAAATGAAGCATACAGAATCATGTCCAGGACATCATGCATTTAAAGCTGGCACCATCTTGGTGAGGGTTGGAATTTCAATGGGATAGCACACCCAGCTGTGAAGTTTTAAAGATGGTTGTGTAACCGCTGTGCAGTATCAGAGTGAAATCCTATACACCATTGTGAGATTGTGTGCTGCACCAGTTGGTCCTGATTTCCTTCTTATGGATAATAATGCCCAACATAGTTAATTAGTAATTGGAGAGTGAGGGCATTTCTTGTATGAGTAACTACTTGTTCTTCCGATCTCAAGTCTATTAAAAATCTTTGAGATGTTCTTGGGTGTCCTGTCTCTGCATATTTACCTCTGCTAGACAATATCAGACTGTTGAAACTGTTCCAATGAAGGAATGGCTATTGCTAGCATCTTTAATAATTGATCACTTGATTCAATGCATGAACAATTGTTGTGAAGGTCCAAGGTAGTCACATACATTATTAGTGTAAATATTCTTTGTTTGTTGTTAGCTTAAAATATCAGTTTGTTTGCTATCCAGATGGACGTCAACACATAATTAATAAAAAGTAAATGCTGTTGTCATCTTTAGGTTTGTTTCCTTCCATGCATGAACACATTTGTTACTTTCATGTGCAATTTATGGTAATCAGCGCTTTAATTTTCCATTTTTATTGATTTCACCATCGCATGCTTAACTTTTGGAAACCCATGTAGTTAAAATTTAAAATACTTCAGAATGTATCGTGTGATTTCATATGAAACTGTAATACAGTGACTATCTTGTAGGTTTTTATTGAAACTTCTGAGACTTCACAAGAAAAAAGACTGTGTTTGAAAGATTTTAGAGATTCTTATCCACGGCATCCAACCATACAAGTAAGGGTTTAAATTACTGTACTATATCAATATTGTGTAATTTTTAAATTTTAGTAAATTGATTTAATAATGCAATTATTTTATTCTTTAAATAATGTTTCTAAGGAATGTTTAATTTGCAGCAAATTCATATATCTCCACATGAAAGGAATTATTCAATAAATTTAAAACCATACATGAATATTTCTGCATATACTATTTCAGAGGTAAGTTATGTTGTTTTGGTCTATTTCTTTGCAAGACTATAAGCTATTTTCTGATGTAATATTTTTTTTAATTTTCAGAAAGCCTCATTACCTCGAATTTTCAGATTATTCAGAGCTCTTGGTCTTAGGCATCTACCTGTAATTGATGATAAAAACTCGGTAATTTGCTTTTTAATTTTGTAATGTATGAAAGAAGCAGTCATTTAATCTTAAAAAAAATTAATGCTTTATTTCTTATGACTTAGTTTATTTTGTATTTCAGCAATACCATTTTGATATAATTCTGTTATAAGTGTACAATATGAGTTTCCAAAATTTTAACATCATAGCCACATGCATAGCATTGCTAAAAAATGGTGTGCTAAAAGAAAATAATAATAAATAAATTCATAGTATAAAGAATTTAAAAACTCTAACATAGAAAACAAAATCAGATCTCAAGCTACAGAAATTCTCTTTTGACCTAGTGCTGATTTGTTATTGTAATTTAAGATCCATTGCTTTATATTTGTACATCAGCTAAATAAGAGCTGATGTCCAAAATACTTAGATTTGAGGATTTGGTCCCTGTCTCCCATCATAATGATGAATTTCATTATGGAAAAAGATTTTCATTATGGAAAAAGTGTTCATCTCTATTATATTTTAAGTTAGACTCATTGAAGTCATCAATTTGATATATGCTTTTCTAAATGTAAGAAAAGCATTAACTTTTGGGGAATATCCCATTGCAGCTCTACATATATGATTCAAAAATTCCTTATCATGTCGGGATGACATTGGTAATTGAAGATCACATAGAGGGCAGACACTTGCACCATGTTTCCTTTGTCTTAACATCTGAACTAACTGCAATATATTTAATAGTCTATATAGTCTATATATATAATCTAATAGTCTTTTTTGCATCACAAAGCTCTGCCACAAAAAGTTCATAGTATATACGGACTAGCTATATTGCGCTGAAATCATTAGAAGCATTTCCCAACACTCAAAATCCAGTAATAGTGGATGTTCTCAAGATTCATATAAACTTTATGAGTCGTGGATATGAAACCCTGTTCTGCTGGGTTCCCGGGCATGTGGGAATAAAAGGGAACGAGCTGGCAGATATCACACCAAAATTTGCTGTTGAACTGTCGAGTCGCCTCATCCGTTTTGGAGACGTCTGTTATACCATTAAAGAAAAGATCTGAAAAAAATGGCAGCGATGGGATGTTCAGCTTCAAAACAAGTTGAGAAATGTAAAGCCTAGAATTTAGCATTGGGACTTTACTAGAAATCATAAGGAGGAAGTTCTTTTGACTCGCCTCAGACTTGGTCACACTAGAGTGGACATAACTCCCTTTTGAAAGCTGAGAATGAGCCTGTTTGTTCAAATTGTAAATGTTTGTCTTCAGTCCGTCATATTTTAATTAAGTGTCCAGTGTTTAATAGTCTTCGTCAGAAATATTTTTAATAGCTGTGACTTACCTCCTGACGTTTAATCGAAGAGAGTTCATTTAATTAATTTTATTATTTAAAGAGACTGGCTTATTACTTAATGTAATCTGTTTCTGAAGAATTGTGTTTAATTTAATGCCGTGCTTTTACCTGGTTTTTTACATGACTTCATCCTCTGGATTTGGTAAATTAGCTTCTTTTTTTTTATAATTATTTTTATGTTTTTCAACAAATTAGATCATCGGACCTTGGTTTTGGCACATTATAATCTCTTAGTGTTTCACCAAAAATCTCACTCACTCACTCGAAATTTCTTAGGGTTAACTTTTCTGAATGCCTTTCAAATTTTGTCCATTGTTTTTATTTTTAATTTTTTTTTTTTTTTTATTTTATTTTATTTATTTTTTTTTTTCCCCATGGGCGTAAACTGCGAAAACTGACAGAAACTGAAAAAGGAAAGATTGCATTTTTTTTTACTTAACATGAGATTATCACAAAATCTTAGGAAGAAAATAATTTAAACCCAAGATAAGCCAGTTTTTATTTAATGCATATTTTAACCACCACATGCTGGAGATTTCTTTGTTCTAACTACTATATGTCTTGCGAATTGGCATTCCATGGTATCTCTTTCAAAAATTGAGTTTTCACTTTAGTTGTTATAGAAGGTTTTATATAAAAAAGGAAATTCTTCTAATTCAGTTCTACTCATGCTCAATCGGATTTTGCTCTGGTTAATGTAAATGATAACACCTCTCATAACATAATAATGTATAAGGGGGACAGTAGTGTTATCTTCTTAATCTGGTGCATTTCCGCTTGATGCAGAAATAAAGGCTTAATATATGGTGTTCATAGCAGTTGTCAAAACTGGGTGTTGCCAAACTTGATCACATGATAGTCCACATAAAATGGTGCATTTCCTTTTAATGCAGAAATAAAGACATAGTATGTAGCTTTCATATTATGTCACCTGTGTGCCATTCAGCAGTGAAAATTGCATGTTTCCAAACTTGATCACATAAGATAGCCCACATAAGAAAAAGTATTTTGGAATTGGTGCATTTCCTTTTAATGCAGAAATGAAAGCCTGATGTTTGGTGTCCATAGTACTTACCAAAAGGGAATGTTTCCAAACTTAATCACATAAGATAGCCAGTGTAACAAGAACTAGTGTAAGGTCTTGTGAGGTGCTTTCATATGTATGGAAAGAGCAAGATTGGATTACTTTCTACAGAAACATGTTCCTTCCAGAACAGTCGAAAAAAGTCAGAAGAAATGGGAAAAAAAAAAACTGAAAAAAATTTAACAGTGATGCAGACAGCAGATAAGGGGATAAATTCTCTTGTAACAGTTTAACTTGTTTGAAAATAAATGTTTTATTTTTTCTGGAATAAAAATCCAAAGCACTTAAATAAATTTTCCCCAAAGTTTCAGTGAAATGTCTAGTAGAATTCTCATTCATTCATTGATGTGATATTTCATTAGATTTTTTCTCTTAACCCTTTGATGCACGTGATATTATTTTTATAATTTTTTTAACTAAACATTCTAGAAATTCAATATTTTTATCCTAGAGACAAATAATATATGAATTTTAAAAAAATCTACTCTTGCCCATTGTTCTGTGGGTGGTGGTCACACTGTGAAACTAGTGCACATCTAGGACCTTGAAACTCACTGAGGTAATAGGGGGAAAACTTATCTTTTTCCGTGCACGTTTCCAATAAATGGTGAAATTTACGAATTTAAAAAAAAATTTACATGAGAACTGCATTATATGTAATTATTTTAATAGGTAAATCCTCAGAAAAAATTTAAAAATAAATATTTATCTAATTTTTTTATAGCAGTGAAAAAATAAGTACCTAGATAATAAGGACGTACGGATAAATGGTTAAAAAACTCAGTAAAGTAAGATTTTTTTTTTTTTTTTTTTTTTTTTTGTGACACTATTCAAAGCATGTTTTGTCTTTTTGGTACATGCATAGACCCTGATTGCACATTTCGCACATGTATCTTGTTCTATGAAGTTTCTCCCTTGTGCTACAAAATGTACACAGCCTGGATCTAAATTTCACTGGTATATGTCTAGCATTATTTAGTTTCTTTTCATCTCGCACATGAAATTTGTGTTTTTTTATGTTAATGGGGATGGGGAGGCTTGGTCTTTTTGGCTTTGGTATAGATCATTCGTTTCCCATTCATATTGATTTTATTCGCATTTCATCCGCAGAAAATATTTTAAATTCAAATAAAACTTTTATGCAATTTCTATTTCTAATTATAGCAAAGTATATTTAGATTAAATTTAAACCACACCAAATAATTTATAAAATCACAATACTAGCCTGGGAATGTTGAGGTGAAAGAAAAATCTTTGGAAAAGAAGGCATTTTTTATTGGGCTGGTGCATGTATTGTTTAGTAATAAAGTAACTCTGTGGTTTCATAGCTCTTTATCTATATCCGGGTAAAAATAAACATTCCTATTTGAAAAGCGTAGACAAATTAATAACAAAGAAAAAAAATTTCAGTGTAACACCACTCTAATGCAGGAAATGAATTACCCCAAATGGTTACAGAGATGATACTTCAGTGCACTATAGAATTTCATCCAATGAAAGCACTTCCTCTTCGAAGATTTGTGACAATGTGACCATTCTTTTCATGGATTACACACTGGATCCTGTACACAACATTCTTGATTGCTGAATATAACATGTCACCAGAAATGCTGAGCTCAGCCGTGATATATTGTCCTTTAATATTGTCCAGGTTAGGACCTCATTAAGAGAGACCATCAACTTCAAATAACTTCACAGAAAAAAAATTCATATGGGGTTAGATTTGAAGAGTGAGATGATCATGCAAGCAGGAGTGAGATGATCATGCAAGTGGGGAAAAAATGTGATTTATGATCCTTTCTTCTGTAAAGTGAGGGTGCAAAGCTGCTACTGTCAGACCAATGTGCAGTGGTGCTCCATCCAACATAAAAGTTACCTGATCCAGCAATTACTTCTGCTGAAATTCTGGAATGACAAAACTAAGCAGCATATCATGATGCCTTTGCGTGATAGCCGCACAGGTTCTGTGGTTCTTCTAGAATGATGTTCTCAAAAAGGAATGATCCAGTGATGAAATCTGCTGTGAGGCCACAACAAACAGTAACTTTTGATGAATGTAATGGAATTTTCTGAATTCTTGAACTTCATGGGGCATTTCGAATACCCAAATTTGAGAAATGTGAGTATTAACAATCAACATTAGCTGTATAAACATTTAGTTGAAAATGAGCCTCGTATCTCCCAGAATTTCTGGCAACTAAGCATCATCAATCTCCATCCTGCAAAAAATCCTACCCATTTATCATAAACATTGCGTTTCAGTTCCTGCACATGACTCATCTTGTATGAGTATAAGGGAAGAAATTTCCACAGGATTTTCCATACCATTGAAAGATTTAAATACATTTTTTTCACTACTTTTCGGAAATTGTTACTACCAGGAATGGTACCAGCAGTGTCATCAACAACTGCAGGTGTAACATCAGTAACTGTCCATTCTGACACTAGTTTATGCCCTTTACCAGACCAAAATGTTAAGGATCTCGATTCTTCTAACTACTGAATCATGCTTTTCAATGCATTAATTGATAGAGGGTCTTCACATAGGTTGTTATGACTTCTAAACTCGTGAAGAGCAGCTGCATACAGT